CATAGATGAGGCATGGAAATCACCGCCCCGACTTTATTGATGCCTGGCCTTCCTAGAATTGCGTTGTGGACGCATTTGATGTCCACAACTATGAACCGCATCTTCTTCCACACGGTCTTTTCACCTGATCCTAGTTCGACCGGTAGAACTATGGATCCTTCAGCTTCAACGGTATCCCCCGTGAAGCCTGAGAGAGGGTTTTGAGGGGTTCAAGTTGTGTTCGACACAACCTGAGTTTCTGGAAGGTCTCCAGGTATAAGATGTTGACACTGCTACCGGTGTCAACAAGTACCCGGGCGACATCCATCCCATTAATGTCCATGGTGATGACCAATGGATCATTGTGATCTTCACCGGTAGGAGGGAGATCCCGGTCAGTAAAGACGATAGGCTCCCTCCTAGTATGCTTACGCCTGGGCGGTTCAGCACTTACTTCTCCAACGTAAATGCTCCGGACCCAGTTCTTCCACTGCGCGGCTGAATCTCCACCCTCGGGTCCGCCGAAGATCATGCCGATGTGTTCTTTTTCGGGGGCAGGTTGCCGCTCCCTTGGCCGGTTATTCCTCCGTCGGTCATTGTCCCGGTCATTCCCTGGGGCAGTTGGCCTAACCCACTGATGACTCTTCTCCTGGGCTTTCTGCAAGTAATCTTTGCCCAGCTCTCCACTGTCGATCATCTGCCGGATGACCCCTTTAACACTCTTGCATTCGGAGGTGTTATGGGAATCAGACCTGTGGTACAAACAATAGGTGCCCGACCACTGCCGCCCAACTTGACCGGTAGGGTTTTCTGGTGGAATGACCGGTGCTTTTCGGACTTCTTGGCATTCCTCCGTATTGACCACTCGGATGACCGGGTCATAGTGGTGCCTCGGCCGGCTAGGTCCCGGTGCTTCTTCCTTCTTGACTTGCACCGGCTTGGACTTGTGACCATGCTCAACTTCTCTTTTTGCCCGGAGTTGGGTTTCAGCCTCAGCAAACTCCCATGCATTATGGTAGGCCTCTTGGTATGTGGCTGGGGGTTTCCGGCAGAACTCCTTGTATAGTTCCCCAGCACGCAAGCCATTCAAGAGGAGGGAGAGGACGGTCTTGTCATCCATCTCTTCCACCTTGTCTACCTCTTCCTTCCACCGGGTAAGGAACTGAGTGAGGTTCTCAGACTCCCTCTGCCCGGCTGTACTAAGATAGGTGAACTTCTTCCTCTTAGTACAATTCTC